CCAGATTCTCCCTGCTGTGTAGGTGGGCTGAACCCCAGCTAGAGAAGGCCTGGCTGGGTGCTCTGGAGGCCAGACTGGCCCCTCCTCTCTCTGTCTTAGTGTCTGTAGCAGGACAGTCTTCCTAGTAACTGAGGGGCTGCGACTTCTGTGGGTTTGGGGAAAGGGATGCACGTGAACTAGTTTGGGAGGAGACGGGAGCACAGGACACTGGGTGGGAGTCAGGGATGTGGGTTCTACTCTCTGCTGTGCTCTGGCGCTGTCTGGCAGTGAGGCCTGGCAAATCCTTTCCTCTCTCTGGGGTGCAGTTGCCTGCCACATAACAGTTCCCAAGGGCCGCTGCTCCCCTGGGACGGGGACATGGGCTTGGGGCAGTGAGGGGTTGAGTGGCAGCTGCTTGAGCCCCAGAAGTCTGGGGGAGGAAGGAAAGGGTTCTTCTTAGACTTCCTCCAGTCCTCTCTGGACTTTCCATGGTCTCTTCAGGCAGAGACCAAAATGGCTTCCTCCTCACTGGACCCTGATAGGAAGAAGGGGCCTAATTAAAAAAAGAAAAATCCCAAGATGAAAATGGCTAAGAGAGCAATTTCCTCTATGTAGAGTGGAAGATCAAATCAACCTAGGAGCAATTAACATGCAAAGGGAGAGCAGGAAAGGGGGCCAGGGCGGCCTGGGCACTGATGGCGGCTGGGCTGGCAGAGGCTGCAGGATTAATCTCAAGGTTAGATGAAGCTGTGGATGACCTTGTAGAGCCTGAGCCAGTTTGGGCGCTGGTGGCTCTTTCCAGTTCCAGGTATCACCACACTGCCTGGGACTTGCCCATGGCCTGGGAACCCCCCTCCGAGCCCCTCCTGGGGCAAGCCCTGGACTCTGGCTGGGAGAAACTTGGTGATACAGGTTTGGGCTGCCTTGGCACTGGAGGGGGTAGGAGTCTGGGAACTCCCAAGGCCAGTCCTTCAAGCAGTTGGGAAATCTCTGTCCCACTTAATCTTCCCTTTCACCCTGGGGATTTTCTCAGTGGAGTGGAGAGCTGCCCGCCTGCTTCCTCAAGACCACCGGTATTCCCCCTCCACCTGCCTGCTGGCTTCCTGCCCCAGGGCTCTTTCAGCCTGGCTACAACAGAAGCTTGAGGGGTGGGGTCTGGGCACACATTGGGCAGGACTGAGGATGTGAGTGGGCTTCTGTCCACAAGAGGGCGCCACTGGGCCAGGACCATGAAGCTGCCCGTCCTGGCTGGTGGGGGTGAGGGAGTCTCAGCTTAACTAAATGTACATTCCAAAGTGCCCACCTGGGTGGCTTCCACCCTGACTGGGAGTCCTGCAGTCCTACCGGTTTGATTAAGGTGGCCCAGATGCTACCCCCAGCATTTCAACAAGCCACCAGAAAGTATTCGTGTGTCTGAGGCTGGAATGGAGTGGAGCTGTCACTTCCCACTGGTGGTTATGAACGCCTCTGATTCCATTTTAAAAAGGGAATGTGTTCTTCATTCATGCTCTTTATTTGGTCCACAGGGAAAACTCTTTTTAAAAAGGCAGAGTGGGGAAGTGGGCTGGTGTGAAAGCAGAGATGAGCCCGTCCAGCTCCTTCATTTCAGTGAGAACAAATGTGCAAATGGGAGTGGGGTCTGGGAAAGGGGAGGACGAGCAACTGTGGCTCCCTCAGGTCCCACACGGGTCCCCAAAGCAAGAGCCAGGGTGCTGGGGCAGGGGAAGTGGTGAGGGTGGAGGATGCAGAGAGTGCCCAGCCACGAGCCTACCCTTCTCAGCTCCAGTTCCTGTGTCTGTGTGTCCTCACAGCTGCTCTCCCTGCCGAAGTACCTACCTCCTCAGCAGCAGCGTTAGGAAGTTCTGCATGTCCAACCACATCTGCTTGGAGGCCTGCTCCACCATTTGTGGGGCAGGGCTGTCCCGGAGGCCAGGACTGGAGTGGCAGCCCGGGAGGGGAGGAGGAC